TTCCTAACCTGTTTATATTTCATGCCACAGTCTTGTCCTCAGTCCTTTGTTTTATTTTCCTAGTCATGTCATGCATTTTTTAACATCCCTGGTTCACAGCTTCAGCCTGTTTCTGCTCAKTGTTTTYCCYCCTCCCATCACCAGTTCACCACAGCCCCGCCTTCATGCAATCAGCTTCATGCAACTCACCAGTTCCCAGTATAAAGCCTTGTCATCAACTCTCAGTCTCTGCCAGATTTTCATGTGCTCTTGCTATGAACTTCCCGCATTCTTGTACCTTGTCCCTCGTTTGTCCTGGTTCCCTGATCCTGCTCATGCTCCTCGGTTTAATGATCTCTGCCTTTGCCCTCGTCGGATTCCTCCTGTCATCTGCTTACCTGGTAACGACTCCTGCTTCACTTCCTGGTTTTTCGGCTCTTGGATTTTCCCTCATCGGCGCGACGCTTCATCTGATTACACGGCTCTCGACCCCTGCTCATTTTACGGACCCACGACTCAAGCCTGCTCCACTAAGTCTGGTAATTCTTTTGATTCTGATCCTCGCTCATCCCTGGACCCAGTTCTTGTCTGTTGGACTCAAACCCCAAACAATTCTGAACGGAGACGACACCACACGGGCTCGGACCCTGTCAACTCAAATCAGTGTTTGTGTATGGAACACCCACACGAACACCAGGTCAGTGGCTTTGTATTTTTTCTCAGTCAAAGTTCACAGTGACTCTGTTGCTAATAGTTTTTTCGTATCCAGAAGTTCCAGTCCAACTCGATGTCCTGATCCAGAACCACACCAAAGCCTTGCACATTAACAATAAAATCTGTAAAACTGTTTTTGAGTTTGGCATTAATTCAGAGTTCAAAGACCGGTTCATATCAGAAAATCTGGCCGTAAAAATGAACTCTGAGCCAAACTCAACATGGCGGGCTGGTGTTGAAGGAGCTTTAAGTAATTTGGAAAATAAAGTAGATAATATTTGTGAAGCACTTAGAAACATGAACACAAAACAGCTGGCATCTGCTTCTGATCAATTATTTGCACCTCCACCTGGAGTTACTCTTCCTAATCCTAGATCCGAACCTAAATTGTGCCCTCCAGAGCCATATAATGGGGACCCTGATCAATGTCGTGCATTTTTGACTCAATGTGAAATTCACTTTCAGTTACAGCCATCATCTTATCCATCAGAGCGAGCAAAAGTAGCCTATGTGATATCCCTACTTTCCGGAAAGCCTAAACTATGGGGCACGGCTGAGTGGCAACAAGATTCACGTATTTGCTACAAATACACACACTTTGCTCAGGAACTACAGAGAGTCTTCAGCCTGGTTTTACCCCACAAGGAGGCAACCAGAGGACTTCTGGGACTAAAACAAGGTACAAAAAAAAATCACAGAATTCATAATTGATTTCCATACTTTAGCTGTTGATAGCAGATGGAATGAGGAAGCTCTTCAAGATGTATTTTTTCAAGCCTTAAATGACGAAATAAAAGACGAGCTGGCAACACGAGATCCTCCACAGTCCCTCAGAGAGTTAGAGGATCTTGCCATACGGATCGATCTGAGGTTGCATGAGCGAAGACGAGCTAAAAGAGGTAATTCCAGAACTTTTAATGAATCAACTTTTTTCAAGCCCCCAGTTCCCCTTCGGTCCAGTGGATCATCTTGCTCTCCAGTCCCTACTACAAGAAGTGAGGAGCCAATGCAGATCGGCAGATCTAAACTGTCTGAGGAGGAGAAACTGCGCAGACAGAAGGATGGTTTGTGCTTTTATTGTGGTGAGTCAGGCCACATTGTTGTTTCATGTCCTAAGAAGAGTAACAAATTTCCTAGAATTAAGAGCCATGTCTTAAGCCCCGCATCGATTAGTCACTCACTGCTCCAACTACCTGCCAAATTATCTGTGAAGGGTAAGATGCTGCCTGTTAAGGCATTTGTAGACTCAGGAGCTGATTCAGAGTTTATTGATCATGACTTTGCTCTCACTTTGGGAATACAGATCATTCCCTCCAAGAGGAATCACCAAGTTCTTGCCCTGGACAGTCATCATCTCAACAGCACCAGTTCTGAAACTGTTCCAGTAAAAATGGTAATTGGAGGTAACCATCATGAAACAGTCCAATTTCTTGTCATACATTCACCCCAGTTACCCATTGTTTTAGGAGCCACCTGGCTAGGGAAACATAATCCCCACATTGACTGGGAGAAGAAAGTTGTCTTGGGTTGATCAGAAAAATGTTCTTCCAACGGTCTGTTGTGTGCAGTGAGTCCTGACAAACAAATAAAGAAAAGTGATTATTGTCCTGATTTAACCAATGTCCCCTCAGTTTATCATGATCTCAGTGAAGTCTTTAGCAAAGTTAAGGCCACATCTTTATCTCCTCACAGACCTTATGACTGTGCCATTGATTTGACCCCTGGTTCAACGCCTCCTAGAGGACATTTGTTTTCATTATCTCAGCCAGAAAACCAAGCAATGCAGGACTATATCAATGAATCACTKAAGTCTGGGATCATTCGACCCTCATCATCACCAGCAGGAGCAGGCTTCTTCTTCGTAGGAAAGAAAGATGGATCTTTGAGGCCATGCATTGATTACCGTGGTTTGAACAATATAACAATTAAGAATAAATACCCACTACCTCTCATGAGTTCAGCCTTTGATCAAATTCAAAATGCTAAGGTCTTCACCAAATTAGATCTTCGAAATGCTTACCACCGTGTTCGAATCAGAGGGAGATGAATGGAAAACGGCATTTAACACCCCTACTGGTCACTATGAACACCTGGTTATGCCCTTTGGTCTCACCAATGCTCCAGCTGTTTTTCAAACTCTCGTCAACGATGTATTAAGAGACTACATTAATGTCAATGCTTTTGTGTATCTGGATGATATCTTGATTTTTTCCCAGGACCTTGAATCGCATAAGAAACATGTTCGAGCCATCCTCCTTCGCCTCCTGCAAAACCAATTATTTGTCAAAGCAGAAAAATGTGAGTTTCATACATAATCTACCACCTTCCTAGGATTTCAAATAAATAGCACCTGGTCAAATTTCTATGGATCCCTCCAAGATTGCTGCTGTCAAAGAATGGCCTAAACCACAATCCAGAAAACGGTTGCAAAGATTTCTAGGCTTTGCTAATTTTTACAGGAGGTTTATTAAAAACTTCAGCTCCATTGCATCACCTCTCAATGCTTTAACCTCTGTAAAAACCAAGTTTGTTTGGAGTCAATCAGCTGAGTCAGCTTTCACTAAACTKAAAACACTTTTCACCTCAGCTCCTATCCTCCAATTTCCTGACCCTGAACAGCAGTTCATTGTAGAAGTTGATGCTTCTAATACCGGTGTTGGAGCTATTCTCAGTCAACGTTCCGCCGATGATAAAGTCCACCCTTGTGCCTTTTTCTCCAAGTCCTTGTCCCCTGCAGAGAAGAATTATGATGTCGGCGACCGGGAGTTGTTGGCAGTCAAGTTGGCCCTCGAGGAGTGGAGGCACTGGTTGGAGGGGGCCAAACACCCTTTCATCGTTCTCACCGACCATAAGAACCTTGAGTACTCGAAGACCGCCAAGAGACTCAACTCTCGACAAGCCAGGTGGGCTCTGTTCTTTTGCAGATTTAATTTTGCCCTTTCTTGCAGACCCGGGACTAAGAATATCAAGCCTGATGCTCTCTCCCGAGTTCATGAGTCTGCCCAGACCAGTGGCAACCAGGGAGGGTTCATTCTGCCGGACTCCGTTCGCATCGCCGTTACTCAAGTCGAGAGGATTGTCAGGGAGGCCCACCAGAACCATCCCCCAAGTGATTGCCCGGATGGTAAGCTCTTTGTTCCAGACCACCTGGTACCACAAGTCCTCAGCTTTTGCCATGCTTCTCGTCTTTTCTGCCATCCGGGTATAACCAAGACCCTTGGTATAGTTAGGTCCCAGTTCTGGTGGGGTTCCTTGGAAAAGGACGTTAGGTTATTCGTTGAGTCCTGCACCCAATGCTCCCTGGCCAAACCCTCTC